TGCTCAAAGGCCTTGATCCAAAACCTCCAAAACTTCCGAAACTTAACTGCGGGCACTCTTCTGCGTGGATTAGCAAATGATCTGGAATTACAACAGCAGGTCTATCCTCTTCGCGTGAGGCTCCTTGGTCATGACTATCTATGGTTAATTGTTGAAAATCAGCCAAACCAGATGAAGCATCATCTTCATCTGAAAAGTAACAATGAGACTGTGTGAATAAGACACCAACCAGAACACCAAAACATCCCCAATGTTACTGATATTCCAACAATATTCACAACATAACTCCAAAGAGTGTTCACATAAGCAATCAATAGAAAACATTTATACATATTCAAAATATTACCTTTGCGGTGCTCAACAGGAAGGCTCTGCGTCTGATATTTGTATCCATTATCATCAAATTCAGATGAAACTCCAGAGTCATCTTCTTGGACAATTCCACCAGCAATAGAGTCATGTTGCACATGATGGACTCCAAGATTTTCAGAAAGACCATTTTCTTCTAAATGTACATTTTCTAAGCGGTCCTTCACATGTTGACCTCCTCTATCGGATTGGAAATCAGCTGGACCATTGCGTATCTCTGACTCTGCTGGTGCTACTGATACAGAAGATGTACTAGGAGCCACTGGCTTCTCAATTGACGGCCATTCATCTTTCACAGGAACCTGTTGATTCGCACTAATTCCATGCTCGTGATTTATCTCAGAATGCCATGAATTTATTGTCTTGGTCTGTGGTCTACCCATCTTTACAATGTCAGCCATAGACATCTGCCCTGGAGCTCCAAACCATGCAGTTTGATGTCCAGATGCAGACTGTGATGTTACATCGCCCGAGGTAACAGATGGCAATTTATTTTCCATAGCAACAGAATCACTGCAAAAGATATGCAGCGTACATGAGAAACCTGCACAACCCAAATGGAAACATGTACAAAAACATAATTCAAGAAAGAAAAAAAAGGCAAATAGAAAAAGCAACAAAAGAGAAATGTGGAACAAAAAAAATATTGACGTCTAAATGTAGCACACATTCAATTGAAATGCAGGATTTTGGCAAAATGACCATATCTTACCTCATCATACAACCCCAAGCCAAAATATAAGTATATATAACTACTTTCAGCCTGGGAAACTTTTCTTTGCTTCTTAGTTAATCAAACAGAATGTACATGAAAGATTGTCCTACCAATAGAATCATTAACTAAATGGCTGAAATATGAAATAATTGACACAATATAAAGCACACAGAAGTTCCACTTATTTCATAAGTCGCATCCAAATTCCCAACACGCAAAAGAAGGAGAACCGCTAGAGGGAAAACCTGTGTGGTGTCTGATGGTAGTTCGCCAAACCAGAAGCGGAAGACCAAGGCCCTGCGTAACCCTGCGTTTCACTTTCTTTCTTGTTTATAGATTTTCCCTGGAAGTTTCCAGAATCTAAAAACAACAGAAGCACATAAGCATGAATCCTAAAATTGAACTAAATAATTTTCTGTATCCAAGAGATCATGTTTATACCAGTAGAGCTGAAATAGGTAGATCCACTTCGTCCAGCATAACGATCAGAAACACCTCTAACACCGCGGTTATATATATTATTAGCACCACGCAGCCGGGAATCCGGTATATCCCTAATAGTCTGAACAGAAAGAAAAAAAAACTTAAAAATTCGCCAAAATTTCCAGTAGAACAAATTGATAACTAGCAAAAAACTGATATTCCAGCAAAACATCTACAGTCATCTACTAATAAAGCGTTTGAAGGCAGTAATAAGTCCTCATGTATGCAAACAACTTTACGACAATATTTCACCGGTATGTAATGTAGAAACTGGGTGCTAGATGTCACTAGATATGGTTTGAGCATGTATTAATAAACAGATTGTGCCACTTAAAAATGCCACCACAAGAGTGTATAAAAGTTATAGCATTGACTCACCTCTTTCTTCTTTTCTTTTTTGCTCTTTACCTCATGAAAAGGATCTGAAAAAAGTATCAATCTCATGAATAGTGTGCAACAAAGACATGCCACTTAATTGACAAGTAATTTTTCACCACAGAGTAAGAAGAAAGACCCTTAAACAGGAAATGCACTGAAGAAAGCAAATCATTAGCAGCATCTACGAAAATGACACAAAATCAGCTAGAAAGTTTGACAAAACACAAAATCCATTAAAGACCAAACAGATTTAGATTCCGACAAGGACTGATTTCGCCCAAAAAACAAATATTTTTCTTCCAACGGAATTCACAAAACCCCTAATCAAAACCCTAATATAAACCCTCAGTAACCAACCAACGAGTCAAGTTGAAGAAAACCTCCTCGTGAAACATGCAAAACCCTAATTTTCTCATCGAAACAAGAAATTGAGGTGAGG